GCTGCCTTTTAATTTTGTTTAAATGGGAGCGATAGACAATTAGATCACGCTCACTATTGAAGTTGGGGGAAGTGTAAAACTTTTGCTCAAATGCTTTTAATATTTACTTTTTTACAAGAAAGATGTTCATTCTAAATGGCCTAGATTAGAGTATTAAGTACATGAAATTTGTGACTATATGAGAAAACAGCAGAGTAATGGATTTGCCTGGAAATTTTTCCACATTGATTGCAGCATTATTACTAATCCTGAATCAACCTAAATGTACAGAACTGAATAAGTATTAGAGCAGTCCAATAAGATTTGATGAATGCACTATTCCATTAATTTTACCTTTTTGTTGAATAAATTATTTGACAAATAATAGTAAAATTCATCAAATAAATTATCTGATGAATATATTTTTAAGTAATCGACTAGCTCTAATGAATATGCAGGCAGTTCCTTAATGAAAAGCATTACTCTACTGTTAGCCTGCTTTCATCAATCATATGTCACTTTTTTGTATTGTGTAACGGCAATGTGTATATATTATTCATTCACCCATTCATTTGTACATGGGAAGTTCAAAACAGTATGGTTAATCAATCACTGCAATTCTTAGAATATTTTTTGCTTTACAGTTGATTATTCATTACATTCCCATAAAGGAATGCTTAACAAAAAGAGCCAGGCTTTTCTAAGGACACCTCTCCCAAGAACTATTCTTGACTTGTTCCAAGTCAAGTTTACAAGAATGCTCTGCAAATTGCAGGGTCCATTTATAAGCCATTTCTGTAGTTGCAAACACTACAATTACCAATTGTTTCAAGAAATTGGAGCCTGAATCCAAGCCAGACACCTTCAAGGACCCTGGAAACACATATTAGAGGAGTAAAACAAAGAGGAAGATACAGTAGCAATCTCCTCACCGCACAGTGCTGAAGGTGTTTGGATAAAAGGCACATAGAGGATTATTTGGATGGTGTGCAATTTTGGAACTGTTCCAGTGTCAAAGAGCAAGTCTATATTTTGCTATTATAGAGGTGGTCTCAATAAATGCTACCGTTAACACTGTTAAACAACAATTTGCACCTGTTAGGTTGAACGTGTCACACACATTTCCAAGGCCTGGTTCCTCGCAGAGGGTTCACCAGCTTCGTAGTAGCAGTGACAGTGGGCAGAATAGTCAAGTATCTGTCGATACTGTAAAGGTGCAAATTGTTTTTATACTGGTCCCTTTTGAACTTACTGCACAAAGCTTAACTAAACAGACCTAACAAGCGAAGGCCTTGGAGAGAGATGAATTAAAGGATGCCTGCAGGTGCAGCTGGCATAGCAGCGATCCTCCTCAGGATTTTCCTTTCAGTGGCTTGTAGACTTTGGGTTAGTGCCCAGCTGGGCATCTATCTATCCTGTATGGGTGAAGGGATTTATCCCGTGTTCGCTGAACTCAAAGTTTCCACTGACTTCAGCAGCGCAGAGTGAAGCCTGCACACAGGTCTGTGCCCCCTGCGCGCAGGCAGCAGCTCTGGGCAGCAGGAAGGAGCTGCTGCTTGGCCAGCGTCACACGCTCATCCACACCGCAGCGCCACAAATGGTTATTGCCATTCTACACACTTGCTATTACAGAGAGATTATTATTGTGAGAGTATATCACAAAAGAAAAGAAAATGTTCTAGGAATTTTTTTTTTCATTTTCGTACCTTTTATCTCTGGAGCTTATATTTGTATTTGCCTCAGTCAGGCAAGGGTTGTGCTATGTATGAATGTTTGTCCCTTAAAGCCTGTGCTAAACTCACTTTTCTATTAAAAGTTTAAATACTTGTTATAAATAATTTCTCCATACTTGTATGCTTTGATCTAATCTACTACATAGTTTTAGCTAAAATGGTTGTGGTTCTAAAGATTACAAGTATTAGGAGGAGGAAATAAGTTGTGGAAATTATCTTCAGCTTGCAGCTTGCTTTACAAAGGTTTAAAATGCCTTTTCTTTGCTAACTCAATCTAAAGAGCTTCTGACCCACTCCTTTTCATGTACAGTCACCAATCTAATAATAATAATAATTTTTAGATGGGATCAATAGGGCCACTGCTCTACTCCTAAGAATTCTAATAGAACCTTAATAAGCAAACAGCTTCAGAAGTAGTGTTACTCCTTAGGCAAACAGAGAACTTAGTTTGTACTTTTGATAAACACTTGAGCTCCTTATGCTTCACTATTATTACTGCAGATTTAAAGCCCAAGCATGTGTTCGAAACAGTGTGCCTAGAGGTAGAGAATCCATTGGTACAGAATCTGTTTGGTTCTTAATCATTTACATGTTGTCTCAGAGGCCTATTATGATATAATCTAAACCACAAGTCTCCCAGGGCCCCATTCACAGAAACTGAAAGCACCATTTGGGTATGTGGGCTTTTGTGCTGACAATGTTTTTTTTTGTGTGTGTGTGTGTGTGTGTGTGCAAGAATCAGATTTGTGGCGAGTTGCTCTCCAGAGATTGGGTATCCAAACTCTCCAGGCTATCTTGGAAAACCCTCAAGCTCAGTGTCGTCTGTATATGAAGCTCAGGATTAAAGGCAAGCTTGAAGTTGCCAGGGTTTGTGGTTTAGTATATGAGGGTGGCAGTGCTCGATTATTTGGTTATCCCAAAGCAAAAACAATATTTCCTTTCCAGAGTACCCAATTAGGATATAAATTAGGATATATAGATATATTTTTTTTCTTCAGATAGCTATGTGTTGGGTTGTGTTTGGTAGAAATGTTGGAAAGAGGTAGATTTCTGTAATAAAAAAATCTTCCTGATTGACACTGCTTTGGAAAGGGATTAAACTTCATTATATTATTCATCTAATACACTAAATAGGAAGGCTAGACAACAGAAATTGAATTAATGCCTCCAGTACACCTTCTGCAGAGCAGACATTTAGTACCAACTTCATCTCCTAGAGTCAATATCTATTTTCATGAGGTTTCTCATATTTTCATTGAAGAATAATCTGAATAGGGTGTGAGCAAATTAACTAGCTCCTTGCACCCTTTGAAAACTCTCTTGCATTTCAAGCTTCAATTTACTATGAGTCCATTAGAACAAGCAATCCAGACTCCCAGGACATCACACATCCGACCTAGCTCCTCACTGAATGCAGAGCACATTTCTTCCTATGTGCGTGTAGTCCTGCCTCTGTGCATGACTATGGGGAGATAGTGATCGATGTATGAGAATATTCTGAAAATGAATTATCACAAATTACTTTCATAATGAAAGTAAATACAGCAAAACAACTGCAGGGCTTTCTGCTGTCCAGCAGAAAAGTAGGTTCCACTTAGGCAAGGGAGCTGGAAGAAAAAAGGAACTGTCTGGCCGTTACTTTTTCATGTAGGAAGAATTCATTGGTGCAGTGGGCCTCTATCAACATCTCTCACCTCCCCTTTTTTCCTATAATTCTAGAAAACTGCCTGCTGCAAGATGTGGATGCTCAGAGAACAACCATGGAACTCACAGCCTGACTTGTAGGACTTGCCTCTGCTAGACTTGTATCAAATCTAGTGCAGATCTGCTCTGCCTTGGTGCCAAGCTTGAGATCCCTCATTGAAATTCAGCTGGACCTGAAAACATGGCCACAGATGCATAAATTTGGGCATTTTTTATATTTTGATAATAGAGCTTTCCTATACTATCAGTGCAGTGACACATTTCACCTGAAGGTGAATGACGTATGAGGAAAACAAACCTCACCTTGCCTTTATGGAAAAAAAGAGACAAGGTGCAAATAAATGGGAAATCTGTACCACAAACCCAAGAAGGTTAAACATTTTCCAGCACCAAATGGCCTTTTTCCATTATTTACTATCACTGCAGTAGCCTGTCAGCTGAAGGCACCACCTGACCTTAGGGCTGCTCACCAGGGAGCCGGTGGAGGCGGCTGCTGGTTGCCTCGCTCCAGGTCGCCTGGGCTGACGTGGGAGGCAGGAGGCTGCCCCATCTAACGTAGGAACTTGGGGTAGAATTGGAACAAAATTAAACCTGACACTTTATTCAACTTGGAAATGGCAAATCCACTCATATAAAACTGTTTTGTTGTCACCTTGCCTTCATTAGGCACTGCAACATTTTTCTGCTAGAACTCCTCATTTTTATCACCAAATAGCTAAAAAAGCAAAAAAGGATTATAACTGACTTGGTCAGAGACATCCTGAGGCCTCACCATCACACTTTCTTCTCCTGCTCGCTCCAGCTATTGCCAGATCACTGTCAACCTCGTCACACACAATAATGCCCATTACAGTTGGAACGGTTTGTTAAACTTTACAGCACTTAGAAATGCTCTTGAGGCACCAAAAATGTCCTGATTTAGAAAGGAACATATAATACCTGCCAAATTTTCAGGTTTGAAACCTCTTCCAATAAGAATTAAAAAGGCCCTCTTCACAGCTAAAATAGGGCTATCAATACTTGACTTGTCTGCCCATGTGAAATAGTGGGTTCTTTTCTCTGACGTCGCAATTTAGTTTAAAATGGCTTTGATGATGACAGGGTACACAAAAATGATAAAACCATAAAGATGACAGTCTAATCTTACAAAGATGACCGATCACTGATAAGAGATTAAGTCACACAACATTTGAAAAACCAGATTATCTGTCTGCTAGGATAGTGTCTGTGTGCACCTCCTGCTGAGCCATGCTGAGATGCCAATGACATAGGAAGATGCTACTTCTTAAAAACTAAAAATGCTTCACAAAAATTTCGCAAACCATGGGGTTAAAAGCAAGCAAGCAAGAAAGGAAAAAGCTCTGATCTGACAAGAGTTTTTTGTCAAATGTTCATTTTTCAGGCTTGTGAAGTATTTAGATATACAGCATATAAATAATTTAGAGACACTATAAAAGGGTCTAAATTAGCCAATTCTGCCCTATAATTAGCGCTCACAGCTATGCTGGCAATGGGTGGGTGATTATTAAACACCTTTTATTATCGGTTTTATGTACTACAATAAAAAAGGAAAATTATACTTACAAGAATTATTAGACATGCTGGTCCTATAAAACTCCATATAAAGTTATTCTTTGTGCTGAGCCAACATCTGAAAAGTAAACAGCAGAAAATGTCTTGAAATATGCTAGACTGCTGTGACTACTGCATCCTTATATATGCCTGATTTGAACATGGAAACAGCAACAGAAACAGCGACTTACACTTCTGTAGTGCCATAATACTTGTATCCTAATGCAGCAGAGATTCCAACCACCACAGCTGGACTGACATAGCCAAAGACATAGAAATTCTTGTGTAAAAATCCCTTGTTGTAGATAACTCCCACGACTATAAGGTAGAGATGAATGCCTTCGATGCACATCCATGCAAAAGCAGCTAGAAGGAAATAATGGAGTAACCCAGCAGTGATTGAACAGAAGAGCTAGAAAGTCAATCAGAGAAAGCGAGAGTCATAATTCTATCAATACCTCTCTATTAAGATTATAGAATATGCAAAGCAATCTAGTGATGATAAAGTGGTGGTCCAACAGACCAGACGTCAGTCTGCTTGACAACAGTTTGGCCTATACACTTAAGCACTCAGGACATATATTGGTGTCTCTTCCCAGTTAAACTACATAAATTGGCAGTGTTGATCCTATAGCTACAGCTGAGTTGTCTACAGGCTTTGCTGACTTAGAGAAATTGTGTTTTTATGATTTTCACAACAATATGAAACAGCAGAGAAAGCAATCGCTTCTTAAAAAAAACAAAAAACCAAAAACAAAACAAAAAACACAAAAGCTTTTTTACTGTAAAATATTTTTGTAAAGTTATATTCTGCAGTTAATCAATACTGGAGTGCTGTCTCAGGGATTGCAGCTCATACTTTTTTCAAGTAATTTAAAATTCTATTCAGCCATTTATCGTAGCTTTTTGATAATATATGCATAAATTAATTTCCTAAAACTAATGTGAAACATAATATTAAATATTTCATATTTTTGTATTATGTTGCTCCACAGAAGGAGCAGGTTTTTCATAAACATTGATTAATGAAGTTTTCTCACAACAGTTAGAGGTATAAAGAGGAATAGAGGTATATGCTTCGACTCCTTAGATTTAGCCATATTTGGTGAAGTACACAGGAATGTTAACCAGTAGTTTAGTGCAAAGTCTGAAGAATGTCATGTTCCTCCAAAACTGGAGTTTCAACTTAGTTAAGCAGAATGTATCTTGGTGGACTATAATTTTCATGTCATGCAAGACTCAGCAGTCTTAATTGTATAAAAAATGACAAGAAGAGATGAAGTCCTTAGACTTAGAACTGAAAGATCTTCCAGCCTAATGGCTGATTTTTAAGGAAATCATCATCCATAGAGCCACTTTGCTTTGTGCAGCATGCAAATACAAAAAGTGAAAATGTCAAACACATTGAGACAACAGTCTTAGTAAAAGTGACAAAGCTCAATTGAAACCAATAGAACAGAGTCAGTTAGGAAGATGGCCCCACATTTGTAAATACGGTAAGCTCAGTTTCCCATTGCTGGACTAGGAAGTCAGCGTCACTCCTGTATTCACACTGACACTCGGAAATACAGAACGATGGAATAGGGTATCTTACACTCTCTATTTACTTTACAGCAAAAATCAAGAGGCAACAAGTAAAAATTACCCACCTTGTTATTGTTCATATTAATTCCAACCAGAAAAATAAGTTCCGCCAGGAAAAGGCTGCAGCAGAGGTTTTTGTGAATTGTCGTTCTAGTGCTTTGAATTTCACTGAAGAACCAGAATGTAAAAATGCACATGGAGAGGCAAATCAACGAAATAATTATTCCTAGCTGAGTGATTCTTGTAAGAATGTTATAATTTGTAACACCCTGGGGGAAAATTATAATATAATATTTAAAAGAATAACTCTGAACCTCCTCAAGAAAGACTTCATTTTATAATACAGTTCTTTTCTTTTGTTCAACATATTAATCAAAACTGTTTGTAGAGTTTCAGTGCAAATGTACACTTTGGATAATCTAAAAAGTATTGTTTTTTGTGAGGGAAATATAATTCTAGGGGAAATTAGGAATGAGCTGTATACATTATTCCTCCTGTATTTATGATGTGTTATTTCTTAGCAAAACTTTGTGTTAAAATTAATATCTCCTAGTATGATTTAAAAAAAAAATCAGATCATTTTAGTGAATGACAAATATAGTGGCAGTAGGACGTATATTAATCTGACATGAACATTTTCTAATATGAAAGGACATATCACAGCACTGACTTAGATAAGCTAAATTGAATAACCGTCTTACCGAATTTGCAGCATGATCAAAACAAGACACTGCAATACCAATCTCCTCAAACAAATGCTAGTTCCAGATATATAACATGACCCTTCTCTAAAAACAGTCTATTTTTAATGAGTGAGTGTGCGTATTTTCTGTGCAGGAGCACAGCTACATTTGCTGCTTGGTATTCTCAAAGAGAATCTCTGAAATACGTGACTACACATCAGCATAAGGGCAGGATTCAACTGACCCTAAAATGCATCTAAGCATTTGTTTTTTTCCTAAATAAAGTAGCAGAGATTATCCTGCTCCCCTCCGCCCTTAAAAAGGCATAAATGCCTACAAAAGTCTTAAATCTGAACCAAAGGCATAGGATGCTATTTAGCAAGCAGGAAACAGCCTCTATCAGCGTGAAATGCACAGTGTGGGAGCACTGTCTCAATACGATACATTCGTGCTAATATTTGGCTTGCTGTCAATTCTGATACTTTAAATAGCTGCCTCCTGAGGCAGAATCCTGGTTCCTGTAGGTCCCCACATAGATCCTGGAAATCTATGGGGCCTCTTACTGAAGGAAAGGCATAAACTGAGTGGTTATTTTCACGGTTCTGCGGTGGCCGTGAGGGTCTGTGCTTTAACGCTCATAAACACCGTTCTGCTTACTGTGCTATATGCTTTTCTGATACTGCTAGTGCAAACTCTCAGGAGAGAATTTAAGGGGATTTTTAGATGCCAAGGTAAGACAAATGGGTGACAAAGTTTTGCGAGAGAGAAATTCTGGGCCATATGGTTGCTGACCACCAACGAATGCCAATTAAATCCCATGGTAGTCTTAAAGTGGAATTTAAAATTAAAAGCAATGCACCAAAAATAAGTACAACAGACTGTGTATTTGGAACAAGATCCTTTGCTGCATCACTGCTCTGTAATACTGCGGAAAGGACATAAGGAAATTCAAACACATATGGGAGGAATTTTGTTTGCCCTATGCACAATAAATTGTATGTTTGCTAAATAAGAAAAAGAGACACAACTGAAAGGGGGAAAAGTATGTCAGCTGCACTGAAATAAAAACACAAGCAATGAACATGGAAGAAAGTAAAACACTAAATTAAAATAGCACTTACAACAGAGCCACCTGAGGACATCAAAACAGCAAAATGAGTCAGATGATTGCATTTGCATGAGATGTGAGTGGTGTTGGAATGTGTCAGCTCGCAGCCTTCTGTAGCCCAGTTGCCATTCATTGTGTCTGCTGAGTAGTTCCAAAATGCACATTTAATATCTTTATCTGCAATCTGGAACAGAAACAAGATGTTTTACTGATGGCAAAAGGCAGAATATTTCCCATCTAGAGACCTTTCTTACACTAGCCAGAAAATTCATTAAAAATTGCATGTTTCCATTGGAAGGCTGAGAAACAAAGAGCACAGTCTGCAAGGCCTATTCCAAGCAATTAAAACATGGCTCAGGATCGAAAACTTTATTCACACAGTTAACATCCAACTGAACATGCAGGCTAATCGGATTACTGAACCCTTCTGGCACTCAAAAGAGTTGGAATTTTTTAGCTACTGAAAACATTGTTATATATACACCCATGCACCTGCTGAAAATGGACTAAACCTCAAGGTTAGAGCCTCATTGCCTACCCTGCTCAAAGTCCCTTCCAACTGAAGGATTCAAAAATTAAGACATATCCTGTGCATGCTATGAAGTAATCTAGGAGAAAGCCAGGGTCATATCACACCTGGTACATCAGGTGCAAAGAGTGCAATGATAAGACCATTAATATTATTTATTCCTGACAGACAAACATTACTCAGAGATCAGGACCTGCTGTATTAGGTATAGCATGCATATATGCAAATACAGATAAAGGTGATCTCTATCTCCAATATATCAAGATATGGCAGATTAAAAAGCGGAATAACCAAGGTTAACACATTCCCCAATGTCTCCCTGCAAAAACACAATAACCTCGCCAGTGTTTCAGATGTTTCAGATCAGGTCTTTGTGCCATGTAACATGTTTCTTCACATGCAAGTGAAGTCAGAAAAATCTATTTTGTACACTGGAAGCAAAAACCACAGTACAAATTTCAGAAATAACAAAGTTGTTATACTGTAAGTTCTGCTAATACTTATTCGCTGCAGATAGTGTGCAACTTGAACCTTTTATTTTTCATCCTTTCAGGTAAACAGCTTTAAGCACCTGATAAAGCATTTGAAAACCCACCTAAACACAAAATAATCAGGATACTGGAATATTCTCTGATTCAATGAATACATAACCACCACAATGAATACATAATTGTTGCTCTGCCTTTAGTCTAGTAGCACTTTTGAGTAGTATCGTGTTCAGTACTTTGAGGTTGTCGTTTTTTTCTCTAATTAGACTAAACTCTCATCAACCAACAACAGAATTATGTCTCAACATATCATACATTGCAGGTATGGTTACATGACATAAAATAATTATTTACTGCTTTGCTTTAATTTGAAGATGATAATAAAAATTTTAAAAAAAACCTTACCTTGGTGTACTTTAAGGTAAATGTTATTTTCTCAAGCTCATAGAGCGTGGGTGGATTTGAGCTAATTGCAACAGCTATAACTGATGAGCTTACTGTTTCTTTCTGTTCTGAACTCTCTTTCGAGGAGCGGTTTTTAGGCGATGAAAGCAAAGAACCAATATTGCTATACCGCAGAAAGACAACTGCAACGGTGCCTATCAATCAAGCAGACCATGTTTAGTAGCTTGTGTAGTTTGCGGGGTTTTTTTTATAGAAGAAGAAAATTGAAGACATTAAGGAAACAATAAACAATAGACATTGTTACTGCTATTACATAAAATATGCAAAACAGATGGAATCTTTGTGGAATACTTATAAAAATGTTTTAGAGACAATGAAATATAGATTTATTTAAAACAATGTAACTGCCATTAGAATTAAAAATGTGTGTTCACGCTGGAAATTCTAATTAGATATATGCATACATATTTTTCTAAAACAATATATGCTTGCTGCTGTACTGCAGTTGGCTGCACATTTGATGTCAGGTCTCATAAACTAAAATGGTTAAAACCTGAGGTAAATACTTGTCCTCTCTAAAGCATATGGCTTGCTTTGAGCTCCGTTACGCTAGAGCCAGAGTGGAAATCACACATGGAGAGAGAAAGGAAAGGTAGATGATGATGTAGGGCTGATTTGAAAAATGCAATGCTTTTTTTTCCATAGTAAAGATTTAAGGTTAATTGATAGTGACAGAGAGAGATGAAGGGGCCAGTCTAGAGTGACACAGAAGGTCTATGGTTGAGAATAGGATAGAGCCAAGTCTCTTTGGTGCCAGTATCCAGTGTTTGGGATGGATAAAAGTAATTTAGATAAGACCATGATGCCTCCCGAAACTCCCCTCATGTTTTCATCTGGGCACCTCTCATCTTGGAAAACAAGGAAGGAATTATACTGAGAAACAAGACGTGACTGTCCCTCTAAGGTGGCTCAGCCACCAAGGGGGATTTCATGATGAAGAGAGCTTGTCCTCTATCTACCAATATAACAGTTACTCTGTTTCCTTGTCCCAAAGGGGAATTGGCAGGAATTTTCCTCAGAGCTGCTGTGGATGACTGGTCCAACAGAGATAGGACCCAAGATGCATCTCCTGTTCTAGCGGTTTTGTTCTGTAGCAGAACCATATGATGACGGGAAACTGGGAGCTTATTGTTTTATACCTCTGTTCATCCCTGTGGGCCATGTGGTCAGTCTAGAAGATCTATTATATCTGGCTTATCTCTCAATTTTAATGACTTAATGTAATAGAGCTACTAGATATATACCTATCAGGAGCAGAACTGATATATTTTCCTGGACAAGTTTTAGGCTTGCAGATGTAATCTTTGCTGTATTAATACCTGTATGACACATTATTCAACACAGATAAAAAGAGGGCTGTATTCAGATAGAAATGCGTAAAATCAGAGGCACTGAACCTCTGGCTCACTGCACCACTGGATATAAGAATAGAAATAGTACTGCTGAGACAATAAAGGGGTAGGTGAAACGATGATAAAAATGCCTTGACTCTGCAGTTAGCAGGACTGCAGCTCGCTCTGACTGCAGGCTGCACATTTTATTTTTACTAGTGGGTATAGATCTAGCAGAGGTCTACCTAAGGTGTTTATTAACCTCCCCCACACTCTAATCATTTTTTCTTACCATTAGGATAAGATTCCTCTTTCTTCTTCGGAGAGATCTTTATATAATCTCCTCCCGTGTATACATGAGGGTGAATGTGTTTCATGTGGTGTGAATCAAAAGCAAAAACCTTGAGTGCTGCAAAAGAAGAAAAATACTGTACAAATCACAGCTCCATTAAAATCTAACATAATTTACAGTTGGGTTAATAAATGTGCTATTGGATTGCATAATTATTGTAAATTTTAAGAATATATCATTGTGCCAAATATTTCAAGAAAAATGCTATTGATGTAGCATGCTTGCTTAAAACTCTAGATTTTGTTATTTTCATCCATACATTTTGCTCTTATACTTTTTACTCTTTACATGAAAAATATAGTCTTTTATTTACCTTGCATTAAATTAGGCACTGGAAAGAATAATGTAGGTTACTTTGGGAAGAGCTATTGCTTTATTAAAAATGCATTTCTGAAAGAGACCACAAATCACAATTATAAAAAGCAAAGGATAAAATTCTCTACTGAATAGTAGCATTTGATAAAAGCCAATTTTTGAAAAGTGTATATTTTATAGTTATCTATCCATGCTACCAAATGCACATTGCACCATGGAATAATGATGTGTGTTGTCAAAAAGCAAACAAGCAAACATCACCCCTCAGGACAAAAAATACATTAGAGGACATTGAGCTCTTTACTTGGTTCATTACAGTGCTGAGTTTCAATCACCCACGATGGGAACAAAAAAAGTCAATCAGGCCTGTTTTTAAAAACAAAACAAAACAGCAACAAACAAATCTAAAACTTGACTGATGGAGGAGTATCACTAAGCTAGACCATCTGCATTGCTTATAGCACAGCACACAAAAATAATATGAGCTATTCAATAGACCAGCTGTCAGAAAATGTTTGTCAGGACATAAGAAATAGTTTTTATGGCTGAAGTTTTGAAAAGCTTGTGGTTTGAGAACCTGCACCATAAAAAGCAGTGAGAGAGGTAATTCCAAAGGTCTTGTAACAAAACAGATGTGACAAAAACACATATTTACCCTGTAGAGAGCTGAGCAATGATAGCAAAACAAAACAAAACAAAAAACAAACAAAGAAACAACAAAAAAACCCACCAACCAAACAAAAAATCCCAAAAAACAAAGTAGTGTTTGGGGCCATTTTGGAAAAGAACTCTTAGAAGTTCAAATTTTGGAGTAAAACTCATTGAAAAAGAGTCAACTTTTTGAAACGGATTCTTCCCCATTCTCATTATTGGATTTCTTTTTCTGTTTTTGAGTCATCTTTCTTCTGACAGGGGTCTCTACTACCATTAGATTTCTCTTTCTTCTCCACTTTTAAGGTCTCCACATCCACAGTAGTCTCTGTCTTCAGAGAGCAATGAGGATGAAGAAGGGCTTTTCAATGATCACTTCCCACCATTCTGGATCTGCCACAAACCCAGAAGTACTCTGAACTAAAATAAATCCACTTCTACAGAATTTCTGACATGGAACAATTCCCTATCTGTGACATTGCCAAAGCAATCAGCAATACTTTAGTAGAGTAAGATTTTTGAAAATGGTTCTTGATAATCTTACACTGCTCCCACTGAAGGAAAAGTAAACCTATTGCTGTCAGAGGAAAACTGAAAGGAGTTGGTATGAAGACGTTAGTATGCAGGAGGATGGTAGGAAGCAAAATGATGCAGTGGAAAAGCCCTAATTGTTCTCTTCTGAAATTTCGCTGAAAATCAGAAATTTCTCTGAAAATAAGGCCACACAAGATCAGAATCACAAGCTTCAGTCTTATTCAGAGTTCATTTACAATGCTTTCACTGAACCAAAAGAAGCCTGGTTCTCTTGATGTTTCAATGCATATAAGATTTGTGGGATATTTTTATGCGTATGAGAGGATTCACTATGACAGTGTGGCTATAACGAGAGATCGAAAGAGAATACGAAAGGACAACGTTCCACAGCCTCTCTAGTTTTATCTCAGCTCAAATGTTCAATATTTGACAACTATGATACCTACACTGAAAGTCAGGTGTTAGTTATGAAATTCATACAAATTAACACCTGTGTGTTTTATATAACACCATTTCTACTTCGTATAATTGTGCTGAAAAACTCTTCAGTGTAATTCACATCTAAAGTATTCCTTAGATTAGTTTTCTTAATCTTACCTATGTCACTTGCATTAGCATCTAGCTGTGTTGTCTTTTTGATGTTCTGTGACATGAGAAGCGCTGCTTGTTCTGTAGTATGCATCAGTTTAGTCAGACTCATTCTTTGGTTAGCTACAGGAAGAGCTTCCCAGACCATTAATTTGTCCTTTTGTAAAAAATTGTTCACAGTGTTAACCAAAATCTGTAAATAAAAATAATATTTTTAAGCATTAGAATCATACATAGTTTGTAAAAGAAGAAAAACTGCACATTTTTAAGGCTTGATCTACTCACATTAATAGTTGTATTCTGAAGTGTTTCATTGCCAGGAGCTGAGTAATGAGTGGTATTCAGTGAGGAATAAGACAGTGCTTCTACATATGAAATCACATCTACAGGTAAAAGTGGTCCTAAGGTATTCTTATTAATTTCTTGCAGCATCTCCAAGGAGGTTTTTAAGTGACTAATCTGAAAAATAAAAATCACAAGTAAAGCCACAATTTCTGTAAGTGGAAGAGTAAACCCAATGCAAATGAGTGATTTCTGTGAATTAACAATAACATACTATGTTTTGAGATGCTTATGCATAAAAAAGAACTAATTAACTGAGCAGCTCTACATGTAAAGTTATGGTGCTACTCAAAGAAAGAGAAGAAACATGATTGATAAGACTCCAACAATCAATTATGGTAAACAAGAAGTCATGGTCTATGATTCACTCTTTTTTTTTTTTTTTTTTTTAGTTTTTTAACTTCTGCAGCTCAGTTTTATTTATCAGAATACTGTAGAATAGACTAGTAAATGCTCTGCAACATATTTTGTAAAAATAATTAAATATCAATAATACAGCAGCTCAACTGACTCTTTTCTGTTAAATTTTAGTTGAAGTGGTGGGAGCAGATGGGCAGTATTTATTTATTTTGTTTGGATATTTTGGCAAATGCAGCTTATAAAGCATGTAGATTGGTACAACCTTCCTGCATATTTCACCCTTTTGATTAAAGTTTATGAACTACTAAATTTACTTACATAAAGCAATCAGTTTAAACATGGTAAGCAAGTTAATATAGTGCATTATATGGTACCTTAACATAGAAAGCCTGTTAATATAATATATCTTACACTGGGTAAACAAAAGCTTTTAAATTAAAATCTGTCTGAATCTGGTAATTTAGGCAAAATGCTTAATATAAAATGCAAACATATACAATTTGTTTTAATTTATTCATATTTATGTTTCATTTATCCTTCTAAATTAGACATCACTGTAGTTGTGGACTAATGAATAGTGAATTCGTTGATTTATTTAATTTGCTTCAGGAAATCTCAGCTTCTGGTGAAAAAATATTGAATCCTGAGTCTTTGGGTCTGTAAGTCTATGCCACTTTAAATACTATGCTTTGAGGAGTAAATATACTGGCATGGCAGGATACTATTGCTCCACTTTCTATTTTGTCACTTATTTATATTAATTTTGTAAGCCTTCACTCTGAGCAAGCAAATAATTGCACATCAGTAAATGCAGCAATGTATAACTTCAGAAATTACAAAACCAGTTGAGTGATTACCGCCCTTCTGAATTTTTCATGCATCATGACTTACTATGCTAGAATTACAACACACACATTCCCAGCAAGTTATTACCATGATTTGAACACATAACCAATTTCACATAATTTGGAATTATTAACAAGACTTCTGTAAACATGCTTAAGCTCAATTGTATGCTTGAAGCATTTGTTAAAAGCTCCTTAAGAACTATTATAATTGAAATAACAGTTTCAAACAGAAACAATTAAAGGATTTGCAAATTAATCTATAAACCAATGCTACTTACTCCAGCTAAAGTTCTATTAATATGTTCAGTTATACAGTCTTTGTATAACTCACACTTGGCCTTCGGATTTTCTGTAGAAATTAAAAACAAATTATTATCTTAAGTTTAATGAAATGTTCAATATATACTTGTTAAGAGAGTTCTTTAAGTAATTTTCCCGAACAAACCTCCATTTATGAACATAAAAGGCAGCATTCAGTCTCACACTTCGACTACCAAGACCTTCTTTTGACCAAGCTGCTGTTTGTACAACACAAACACTGCTGAACTGGACTAGAGTAGTTTTATTATGTCTTTGATAGAGCTTCTTGGGACTTCTACCAGGGTAGCTAAGAGAAGGTTTGAATTCGTGGAGTGGCAGATGAGCTATGAAGGGGTATCTCCTTTCAAAATGGATTTTGTCACACTTCCCTAGAATCACTCTACATATCCTGCTACATTTCCCCTGGCATGCCCATTCAAAACACAGTCTCAATAGGATTCTGTGCTATCTCTCTTTCTTAGCCCTAACCCTAGCCCAAACACTAACCAGGGTCACTAAGCCTAGGCTCTTCAGGCCTATTGGGTCCCAAAACGCAAAGATGGCCCTAGAATCACTCTGTATATCCTGCTACATTTCCGCTGGCATGTCCATTCAAACCGCAGTCTCCTTAGGACTCTGTGCTGTCTCTTTTACATAACCCTAACCTTAGCCGTAGCCCTAACCCCAACCAGAGTCACTAAGCCAAGGCTCTTCAGGCCTAGTGGGTCCCAAAAAGCAAAGATTGCTCTAGAATCACTCTGCATATCCTGCTACATTTCCGCTGGCATGCCCATTCAAACTGCAGTCTCTTAGGACTCTGTGCTGTCTCTCTTCCTTAACACTAACCCTAGCCCTAGCACTAACCCTAACCAGAGCCACTAAGCCTACGGTCTTCAGGCCTGGTGGTGCCCAAAAAGCAAAGATTGCCCTAGAATCACTCTGCATAACCCCAACCCGAGCCCTAACCCTAACTAAAGCCGCTAAGCCTTCGGTCTTCAGGCCTAGTGGGTCCCAAAAAGCAAAAATTGGCCTAGAATCACTCTGCATATCCGGCCACATTTCCACCGGGAAGGCCCATTCATTCCGCAGTCTCCATAGGACTCTGCGCTGTCTTTCTTCCTTAACCCTAACCCTAGTCCTAACCCTAACCAGAGTCTCTAAGCCTAGGCTCTTCAGGCCTAGAGTTGCCCAAAAAGCAAAGACTGCCCTAGAATCACTCTGCATATCCTGCTACATTTCCCCTGGCATGCCCATTCTAACCGCAGTCCCCTTAGGACTCTGTGATGTCTCTCTTCCTTAGCCCTAACCCTAGCCCTAACCCTAACCAGAATTGCTAAGCCTACGGTCTTCAGTCCTAGTGGTGCCCAAAACGCAAAGATTGCCCTAGAATCACTCTGCATATCCTGCTACATTTCCCCTGGCATGCCCATTCAAACTGCAGTCTCCTTAGAACTCTGTGATGTCTCTCTTCCATAGCCCTAACCCTAGCCCTAGCACTAACCCTAACCAGAGTCGCTAAGCCTACGGTCTTCAGTCCTAGTGGTGCCCAAAACGCAAAGATTGCCCTAGAATCGCTCTGCATATCCTGCTACATTTCCCCTGGCATGCCCATTCAAACCGCAGTCCCCTTAGGACTCTGTGATGTCTCTCTTCCATAGCCCTAACCCTAGCCCTAACCCTAACTAAAGCCGCTAAGCCTACGGTCTTCAGTCCTAGTGGTGCCCAAAACGCAAAGATTGCCCTAGAATCGCTCTGCATATCCTGCTACATTTCCCCTGGCATGCCCATTCAAACCGCAGTCCCCTTAGGACTCTGTGATGTCTCTCTTCCATAGCCCTAACCCTAGCCCTAACCCTAACTAAAGCCGCTAAGCCTACGGTCTTCAGTCCTAGTGGTGCCCAAAACGCAAAGATTGCCCTAGAATCGCTCTGCATATCCTGCTACATTTCCCCTGGCATGCCCATTCAAACCGCAGTCCCCTTAGGACTCTGTGATGTCTCTCTTCCATAGCCCTAACCCTAGCCCTAACCCTAACTAAAGCCGCTAAGCCTACGGTCTTCAGTCCTAGTGGTGCCCAAAACGCAAAGATTGCCCTAGAATCGCTCTGCATATCCTGCTACATTTCCCCTGGCATGCCCATTCAAACCGCAGTCCCCTTAGGACTCTGTGATGTCTCTCTTCCATAGCCCTAACCCTAGCCCTAACCCTAACTAAAGCCGCTAAGCCTACGGTCTTCAGTCCTAGTGGTGCCCAAAACGCAAAGATTGCCCTAGAATCGCTCTGCATATCCTGCTACATTTCCCCTGGCATGCCCATTCAAACCGCAGTCCCCTTAGGACTCTGTGCTGTCTCTCTTCCCTAACCCTAACCCTAGCCCTAACCCTAAACGGGGTCGCTTAACCTAGGGTCTTCAGCCCTAATGGGTCCCAAAACGCAAAGATTGCCCTAGAATCGCTCTGCATATCCTGCTACATTTCCCCTGGCATGCCCATTCCAACCGCTGTCCCCTTAGGACTCTGTGCTGTCTCTCTTCCTTAATCCTAACCCTAACCCTAGCCCTAGCACTAACCATAACCAGAGCCGCTAAGCCTAGGCTCCTCAGGCCTAGTGGGTCCCAAAAAGCAAAGATTGCCCTAGAATCACACTGCATATCCTGCTACATTTCCCCTGGCATGCCCATTCAAACTGCAGTCTCCTCAGGACTCTGTGCTGTCTCTCTTCCATAGCCCTAACCCTAATCCTAGCCCTAACCCTAACCAGAGTCGCTAAGCCTAGGCTCTTCAGGCCTAGTGGTGCCCAAAAAGCAAAGATTGCCCTAGAATCACACTGCATATCCTGCTACATTTCCCCTGGCATGCCCATTCAAACTGCAGTCTCCTCAGGACTCTGTGCTGTCTCTCTTCCTTAACCCTAACCCTAGCCCTAACCCTAACCAGAGCCACTAAGCATAGGGTCATCAGGCCTAGTGCTGGGCCCTGAGGATATGTAGATGTGACTGCCTTGCCTCTTTTCACGTCTTACTCATTAATCTAAGTGAAGATATAGAGACACTGGTGGATTTCTCAGAAGATGTAGCCCTGTAATAACACATAAACCTTTATAATATCATGTACCTTGGCAGGAAGTGCCATCCTTTGGCTTAAACCGCAATTTTCCTGTGGATGGTTGATAACCTTCCTTGCAGGCACAGTTATACCCTCCATCCACATTTTCACATTTTGCATGATCTCCACAGGCAACAGTTCCTTCTTTGCTGCACTCATCTACATCTGCAAATATTGTGAGAAATTGAATTTTTTATTAAGTATTTACAGACTAACACCTTTCTGCTTTGTTGATAATAGCCCTGCACACTGCAAGCAATTGCAGAATAAAATTTCATGGAAGGGAAAAAATAAAAAAGGCAAAAAGTAAAAAGGCAAATTTAATGGCAAAGCATCTGACAATTATACTACTTAGGGATTAGCAGGATAAATCATAATTGATAATATTTTTATACCACCACTTTTATTGCTATGTAATATTGCATTGTTCATGTTTTAAAAGCATGAGTTTAAATATTAATTCTATCATAACAAAACACTCGGCATGATGCAAATCATCTAAAATCCATTTTCCAGAGATTACACTAAATAGATTTTCTCAGCCTTACTATTCAGTTAGAAAAGAAAAAGAAAACTGCAGCCTTTCTTTTAAGTCACAGATTTAAAAAGATGCTTCAAAAGATCATTTCATCCATCTGGTTAATCTAAGATTTAAGCTCTGTGCCTTTCAAAGTGCTTGGCATGTCTTTTTTTTTTTTTTAATCCACAGTTAAATTCCATTTGCCTAAAATAGCTTTTGTTCCTCTAAATAATCTGCATTTAGGTAGATAGGTTCAGTAACTGGATGGGGCACAGTCTATGAGTAAAAATGATGAATTCCAGTAAAGGAATTCATGAATTGATCAATTTAGGTGGGTAGGAGTGGGGAATAGTTTGCATAATTTGTTTGGCTGAAGATAGAGATCAAATAACTCAACAGATTCACTGGAGAAAGCAGACTGGGAAAAATACCAAAGAATTTTGAATGACAGAGTAACAGCAAATCTGTGCCGGTAAGGAGGAGAAAAATAAAGAGTGAACAACTTTGGGATAGGCACATCTGAAAAAAATGGAGAATGAAGAAATTATATATATATATATATATATGTAGATTTAAAATAAAGAGTGAACAACTTTGGGATAGGCACATCTGAAAAAAATGGAGAATGAAGAAATTATATATATATATATATAAAAGTAGATTTAAAGGAACAGGATGAAGCAGGATGACAGAGAATTTGGGAAAGAAACAAGGGCTAGAGCAGGTCTGATTATTGGAGAAGAATGGCCAGCTGAATTGATGGGAGGGCTTTATGAAGGGATTTAAGAACAAGCAAACAAAAGCAGATATAAGGAGTGGGAAATGCACCGGTAGCATACCAAATCATTTTTGTACCCTTATTCTGTTGGTGGCTTTGGGAATGGGATAAAACAAAAATGAGCAGTAATGTATAAGGAATGTGGAAAAACATGGAGGAACAGAATTACACACTGCATGTCTGTGGATATACCTAGGGAATATAGAAAGATGTCCAAAGCATGGTCCAAAGGACCCCTCTGCCTTTTTCACAGCATTTTTTGGATAAATTAAGTAGAATATTATTTATTAATGGCAAGACAGCCTTCTTACATAATCAAATGAATGCATTTGAACTTTTAATGAAACATCTCAACAACAACTGTATCCATGCACTTTCTCATTCTACACTTCGTTCTCCAGCTTCCTTTCTTCTGCTTGTAATGCTAAAGGCATTTGAAGGGGTCAAGGACATGGCTGAGGTTTCACCCCCATCTTTCACATATTTTTTTTTCTTAACTCAGCAATGGCTCAAATTTGCCCCTGAAAATTTGTATTTTAAATCCAGAGTGATCCAGGAACTTCAGTTCAAAAGCAACTCAGATGCTGGCACAGTGAAGGTGACCAGAGGAGATGGGTCACAACCTCACGAGCCACCACATGCACTGCCATCTCTGCTCTTCTGATGTTAAATGATTATTATCTGCTAGTTTGATGCTAGTTTGTTTGCATATTTAATGCCTGGAACTGTAGATGTAGTTCTTGAATGGAGTTAATGAACTGAGGTTTGAATTATCCATATTTGTATAGTTTCTGTGACTGCAGTAGTCCTAGCATTAACCATACAATACTTCAAGGAATCTGACAAACTGGGAAAGGGAGTGAAAAAAAGGTGAAAAAATGATACAGTGCTACGCACAGGCTAAGTCATAATTAAGCGCTGTCACTTAAAGGCATAAGGCCTAAGTTCCTCTCTTGGCATTTAAATAACCTCTAACACAAGTAAACTGTAAAGCTCTTTCTGAAAAAGTAGGTGCCTCTTGGTGCCCTGTTGTATGAGTCAATGTAACATGGTCAAACTTTGATTGAATTGAAGCGCCAAGGGTGAAGAACATGACAATAGCAGTTTGCATAACAGGAACACACATCAGCCTTGTGCCAGAGATTTCTCTGGCCTTGTCAACTACACTGAGAAGGGCATACACGGTCTCAACATGATATTCAGTATGTAGCATAGGACTAAAGCACCAGTAAATGACAACAAGCTTTACTAAAATTTATAATGACTTAAATATGTATTTCAATACATTCCAGATTATCCTTGCTAGGTATGAGGTTGCCATGTGATTTAGTGCTGCAAGTATTCCAAATTATTATTATAATTTGCTTCTCACGAACCTAGTTTGATAAATCATTTATTTGTCATTATTGGGCATTCATACAAATTACCCTTCTTTTTTGCATTTATGTCACATATTAAGTGTAATGGAGATTTTAATGAGCAGTAGGATTATCCAAAACAGCAGCAGAAACTCAAGTACCAAGTCACATCTCCGGCAACAAGATGGCTATTTAAAGTCTGAGAGAGACACCCTGTTGAGTTTATGCAAATAGACTTTCTGCAGTTGAGTTGTCCATATGGAATGGATCCATATCACGCCTATCTAATTTACTGTTTCCTAGAAAAAATCTCCTGGTTGACAAAATTAAAAAGCAATAAGTCTGTCTTGCAAGGTACTAATCTGCTTCGTACCCCCTTTTAAATCATTTTAAATCAACGAGACTTTCAAGGACAGTCAACAATTTGTGACAGTTACAAGAATGTTCCTTTTAAGTTCCTGCTTTGAAGCAATGTGCAGAAACTACAGTTTTCTGTTTATTTTTTGTCAGTTATTCCTTTATAAATGAATATGCAGTGGCTGGACCACACACGGACAATAGCTCGTCAGGTCTTTCAGCAACCAATTTGATTGGAACTTTGGGGCTGGTATCTTAAACCATCCTCCTTTATCCACCGGGGCAGGGGGATGGGGTACCCAAGCTTCCACGAGCAGAGAAGATTCCTGAGAAAAGGTCGAAGGATAGCAGCTATTTAAACAGAATAGCATTTGCCATAGCTCTGCCAGAAACTGGCCCCTTTGTAAAGTACTCAAAACAAATCCTGGAGCTGGACTTTGAAACTTTTATAATAGTTCTGATCAGAAAATAGTATCACCAACACCACTCGGGCTAGTGTGAACATAGATTTATAATCTTTTATTTTATTTCTGTGCTTTGTCATTCCTCATTTACTGCAGCCAGCAAGGAAATTCCAATTAATATAAAAGTACTGAGAACAGTTATTATATTCAGTCTTGCCAATTACGAGATTTTTACCTGCACTGCTTTGATTTTTTTCCAGTCAGTCAAGACAGCTTGATATCTACATTATACTGTCTGCTTATTAGTAGCTTGCAAGTGATTGAAAAGTCCAATTGCAAAGGACTAGATGTTCCCTTCCAGTGTCTCCACGCTGTGGAAGGCAGCAGCATACACAAAGTAGAAATTAAAAACCCTAAGAATGGCACAGGTAAAAAAGTCTAGCGGAGTGGCAAAATGTTGTATCCCATCTACTGTAACATTGCCCTCATCACATGCCCTCATCACAGAAAAGGATGTGATGGAAAATGGGTCCTTTCTCAGTACTCTCAGAAGAAGCTGGAAAATACCTGAAGACCACTAATAGCCTGTTCCGGAAAAAGGCAGAGTGGCAGAATGACATTCATGTCATTTCATTTTAGAGATGTCACTTTCATTTGAGATGGCCATTTTCATGTTTCAACTCTGTTGATTGGAGCAAAAAAAAGTAGGTTTGTATTTCACCTTTTTATCTGCAGCAGAATGTTCAATAAAATGTGAAGTCTAAGGATAAAAATTGTCTTTTACACTGTAAATAGATTTTAGTATCTCACATTCGGAACAGTAGAAAAATGTCATCTTCAGAACTATCGTGCCTCTGCATTTGTTTCTTTATTCTCCACATCTTCCTTTTTGCTCTTTCCCCTTCTGCTCTCCTGTTCTACCTCTATCTGCATGTTTCATTGCCACCTCTTCCCAATTCCAACTGATAATGCAATGAAATAATGCTGTCCCTCAACTAGAGTTAACATTTTGATTGCAGTAAGGGGGGACTGACTTTTCCCACAGTTACTACCTCGATGTATCTAGCCTCATCACTTCCAAAAAGGAGAAAGACACACAGGTGCACACACCCAGAGTTTGCAGTGGACTCACCTACACAACCATAGACCACACTTGGGAGGTTTTGATGGCACTTGTCTATAAACAAATAGGTTGTGCAATGGCACTCTCCACATTCCAAGCACTGTATTTTCAACATGTACTGATATATGTTACACACATATATCATAAAGAAAACTGAAGACAACGTAGAATTAGGGAACAAAATCAGGGCCTATGAACTTGTGCGAGATGGATGCTTGGCTCTGTCCTGTGACTTGTACATGGGCAACATCAATGTTTGCTTCAGCTGTGTGTAGCACAGCCTGAATATACTACTGGCAGACACCTAAATATAAGTCCCATCATCTATCAATAGCAGATAGATCCACTGAGCACAAAATATTCTATTATGGTTATCTGCTAGATAAAGTGTAAAATTAATTGTGGATCAAAAAGTTGTGTTTAGGACTTACTGCTTGGTAATGTATAATGTGAAGAGGTTTAATGAGATGGGAACATGTAAACCCATGTTTAACGACCAAAAGTGCCCATAGGTAATTTTTCATTTCAGTGATTTCAGTGTGAATTTTGGAAGCTGTCAGGTCCTCCTATGCAGAGAAAGAAGGGAGGGAGGGAGGGAGGGAGGGAAGGAGAGAGGGAAATGATGAACTAACCCCTTGTCCATGATAAAAATGAAACTGTCCAGTCTGTCCAGTAGAAGAAAGAAAGAAATATAAGAAATTAGCAAGTTTATGGTAAAAAGCTGAAGTGACCTAAGGAACAGTCACAGAAATAACTCTGAAGACAAGACTTCTGAAGCCAAGAAAATGTCGTAACTGATAAAAATCAAAGCTTGGATGAGAACTACAAGAATATTTGCAGTTCAGTGTGCTAACAGTCTCAATCCCAGCTAATTTAAGAACGATTCATAGCAGCTGGGTAAAGCAGAGCTCTTTTAGACAGATGAAAGCAACGGACAAGAAATGTTGATTAGATCACTTTCTGGCTTAATATGCTGCCTTTCTGCTGATATTAAAAGCAGTAAGATGAGAGGTTGTCAGCACTCACAAGCTCACAAAAAACATACCTAGAATGAGATACAGTCAGCACAAAGGTGTAAAGGGCAATAGATTTATTTCTCATTTTCCCATTCCCTGAGGACTTCTGCAACATACAGAGAAAATTACCAGGGGGTTGAGAAAAGAGAAGTAGTTACAGTCCATTCAAAGGAAATCCTAAAGGCTTGCATAGCTTTTCAGAAATAACATTTTTTCCTCAAGAATTTTTCTGCCCCTGTAATCTTGAACATGATCCATCCCGTTGCAATGGAAGCAAAACCTGAAGGATGGTGCAGAAGGTAGGATAACTGTGCATCTTGCTCATTGCTGCTGATCAAACTTAAAAAAAAAATCCAAACCAAAGCCCCAGTCGAAAGATATTTGGATCACAAAAGGCAAGAGGCAACTGAATGCTTGTCAGGAGGCAACTGAATGCAGGTTTTTTTTTTTTTTTTTTTTTGTGAGAACACGACCCCCTTAGTTCAGTGAAACAGTGGCATAAAGGATGACTGGATTGAGGGCCACTGTTTTAACTTAACTCTGCATTCATTGTCTAAAACTGCATGTGGCACGAGGATAACAGTATTATGGAAACCAGTGGCAGCTGCAATGTTTTCAGTGAGAAATGTAGGCTTGAACTAGAATATTAAATCTGTTTGAGACAAAATCACAGGAATTTTATATCCAGACTCCAAGCTTCACAAATCTGAAGGTAGCTTGTTAGATGGTGATAATTAACAGAAGCAATAAGAACAGAATGACAATTTAAGCTGGTTGGAAGACATTAATAACTTACCCACACAGGAGGTTCCATCATTGGGTACAAAACTTTGTTGACCATTACTGGATTTGTAACCAGGTACACACATGCAGAAATAACTTCCCACAGTGTTTGTGCAATTGGCATTCTCTCCACAAGGCTGAGTAGCATTTTCACATTCATTATCATCTGTCAAGACATAAATTATGGAGAAATATATTTGCATTTGCCAATTGAAGAAAACAATACAATAAAAGCTTAATTTGGCCATGCGTATTTTATTTTATTATTTCTCTACATTTATAATGCTGAACTAGCACTCTTCATATTTGCCTACAAAGGTTTCCCACTGACAAGGAAGAAATCAGGTGCTCAGCAGCACTCCTCTGCCCTCGTTCTGTGTGAGTCAACAAACCAAAAGAAAACTGATGGGATACTGGAATGCAAGCATTAATGATATATTCATTTGGAAGAGGGGATCAGGTCATGTACGTGTTGTCATGCTTGTATTTGGTAACCTTTCTGGTAACTAACCTCCAGAATAGGCCCGAGGACATGCCTGGGAATTCAGAATTATAAAATAGTGCCCAAAGGGATGTGAAAAAGTCACTTATTTCCCAACACCAAGGCAGAATCAGTATAACTAAATTGACATTTTTATTCATCCTGTTTTTGAAGATCTTCTGATATTTCTAAGCATACCCAGACAACAAATTGCTAAAAAGTTTGTCCTACTCTGACATGAACCTTCAATGACCTTTTTTTTTTTTAAATCCTTTCTTAAGATCTTTGAGATAATTAATGATGACAAACAGACAAGCAAGAATCATGACTTGATCTTTACCTCTCAAAGATTGTTGCATGAATCATCAATTTTGTACCTATTGAATCATATAATCTCTTTCACAGGGCTAATCCCATGTCTCCCATGATACAAGAAAGAAGGGGATACACATTCAGGTTTTAAGATTACTTCTTCTATGTATGGTCTCTGCATCTGCTCTTATTGAGAGAGTGAGGATGAGGGTAGTTTGATCAAAGGTCAAATGAAAAAAAAAACTCTTGCATTATACCATATGGTCAATCTGCAGTGATTCAATAAAATTGTTTTCTCTCTAGAACATCCCAAGATCCCTGAGATCTATTAAATAATTATGACCAAACCTGAGAGGAAAACAAAACAAAAACCAAGAGCTGCCTTAGCCAGAAAATCTATTAGACTGACAATAACACTCGCAAAACTAATACTTACATCTTTCCAACAGTCTACTTTTTGTCAAAGCACCCCAAAACTCTGAGGCAAGTAAATTAGCTAACAAAATCCTCCCAAGCAAAAAGACACTCTCTAAGCAGAGGAAGGATGTTAAAGGCTTCCTGAAGCCTGCTGGGATTTTATTCTTGTTCTCAAGCATAAAGTACTCAGGACATGATAAATGAGAGGAAATAACTGTAACAGGGAGAGATATAACAATTTATTGCAAAAGATGAACAATTAAGAAGCATGACAGGAAGAAGAAATATGGTTTCAGAAAAGCCGCCCATGGATGAGTTTCATAAAGGTGCTTCTGCTTCCTGATGGCCAGTGTTCTCATAAGGTGCTTGCAGAGACAGGATATAGATAACTACAATGTCATGTAAGTTAAGAAGTGGTAAAAATAAAATACATCAAGAGCTGTAAAGCATAGCAGGAATACGTTTCTGCAGTATAGCCTATTCCTGACCCCTGGAATAACTGGCACAGTGCATTTTTCAGGTTATACCTCTGATATGAATTTGCATGTTACTCAGTGGACTCCAAGATGCAAATACTAACTCAGAACCGCTGTTTTCTTCAGGGAAATTTGGGTCAACAGTATCAAATGGATTACACTCATTATAACCAAAATTGAATGTAATTTAGTGAGGAATCCAACTATGAAAACACTCTGCCAACACATGCCAACAATATTTATTTTACAGCTTTGATATTCATGAGAAAACAGTGAAGGTACATGATTTGGATCTTAGAGAATGCCAGGGTAAATCCAGAATCGCTTCAATCAAAACATGAACAGGGGCAGGGAGAAGTATTAGGAATCCAAACTGAGAAACTGAGCGCAGAAAAGTGACCGTTCCTGTCTGGCAGGTGGGACTGTGACGTAGAACATTTTATAGATCCTTGCAGTGTTAGCAAACTACCAGATTAGTGAAAAAGGCAAATGAGGAACAAGTTCTCAAAAAAGAGAGAGAGAGAGGAGAAAAAAAAAATAGTAGTTCTATTTAATTTTGATTAGGTGCACTTAAATAATCTTCCTGGCTGTGCTTGTAAAAATATTTTACAAGGTCAACCATGACAACAAAAAAATCCTTAAGTTCTTAATGTTGTCACCAGTTTGAACTGCTATGTGAAGAAAAAATCCAGTTTGAAACCCAAAGGTTTTAAAGATATTTTTCCAACTTCTTAAATAATTTATAATATTATTGGATTTGCGGTCTAAAGGGAGTTAGGAAAAAAAGTTAGATTTTAAAGATAGGAAATTTTGCATCAAGTGTTTTTCCACAAATACAGAGAGGATACTTTAAATGGCAACAAGCATATAATCCATCTTCTTTGTTGCTATCCAATAAAATTACAGTATGTGCATTCACTGCTGGCAGATACCCCTTGAACACTGCAGCCAGTGTTTCGGAAATGCACACTCCTATAAAGACTTTTTCTTTTTTCAGTTACTGATGAAAAATTCAAAGACTTTTAGAAACAAGACTGGCCAAATGACAAGGTTAATTATTATGCCTAAATGGTAATACTGTATTCACATCTATTTGACATACATCTGCTGAATAGCTGATCTGTCTTTAAAAACTCTTTATTTAAAATGGCAATTCAGCCATCATATCCGATTTGCCCTCAAAGTCTTATCATTAAAAATCACAATGAGAGGAAACTTACGAATAATGTCATAGGAAATCTGAGTTAAACAGCCTATACAAAGGTGGCTATAAGGATAGGTATGTGGGTGCATGTGAATATGGTTAGTATATTTCCTTGGTACGGGTAGAAATTAAAACCTATACTTCATTCTTACCTTGAAAATGCAACTGAAATGTATTTTGCTGTGCATAAATGCATTTACACTTAAACAAATGCATTTACAGCTAAACAATCAGTTATTAGTTGCATGTAACCATTGCTGGTTGTTTGGAGAAAATGTGTAAGGACATTCTAAAGCAAAAACATCTGAAGGGCTGCTGATGCGCTGATTTTCAGACTGCTTTTTGAATTGACAGGATGGCATTTCTCTATTAGCACTGAAGGTATTCATTAATCTAGAAACCAAATTTGGGATTATAATTGAACAATCTGACTCACAAGTTCAAACATTAACATAGTCTTCCCTAAACAGAGGACCATGAATTGGGTGCAGTGTTTGTATAAACACTTTCATATAGGGTAATAATGTTCACTGTTAAATAAATCTCTACCACTTTTGTTTTGCATTGATAAAAAACCTTTTCTATGACTGATAGAAATAAATATCATTTTTAAAATAAATTTTAAGTCATACTTGATATGTAAGATGTACCTCAAAAGAATAATTTGTGGATTTTAGAACCATGATGCCATTGGAACAATTTAAAGGAAAAGTATATACCAAGTTTCTTCCAATATATTTCATTTGCTCTCCAAAAAATCAAATTTATCATGTCATATACCCTGTTAAGTTATGGTCTCACAGGAAAACTTCGGGATACCTACAGTTAAAAGTCTATATAATTCATTATTATTATGATGATAGAACCCCTTGAACTATCAATTTTAGGTGTAGAATATATTTTGTAATACTGCTGTTATGTTTTACATGAAAAAAGTGCCATGAGGGAAACTTTGCTAAATCTATTGTCATAAAAAACCCCAAACTGTCTTGAAGTATTTCCATTGCACTGAGTACATTGCTAGGACAGACTCTGCCATGATATGATGATATACAATATGAAGAGTTAGTTTGGAGGGGAAACTTGTCATACTCATTCAGAGTCACACAATATATATATATATTTCTTTTAATAAATTCTGAGGTAAACAGCTTCTCCCTTCACCTCAAATAACAAACAGATACAATTGGATGCAATCACCTAAATTAAAGCAAGTAATTTGGATATTTTCAGTTCTCATTGAATAAGATTTTTGTAGAACTAAAATTTCATATCTTTGAAAATATTCTGGGCTCTCTGGCATGCACTGAATTAAATTGAGAAGTCAGGCTGATGACTTTTACTAACTGAAAAAGTGACTTGAGGGAAAAACGAGCAATGCTGGACCTGGAGTTCATCATTGGAGGCAACCAGCTGGAGGCAGCTCACCTAGGGGGATGACCTTCAGCTGCAGGACCTGGTCACTCAAGTACCTGCCACCTGCAAAGCCTGCCTTGGAGCCACACAGCCTGGAGGCTCCGTGTAGGATGTCCAGGCTCCTGGCTGCTCTGCAGAAAAGCTGGAATTCCCCAGAGTATTGGATCAAGAGCTTCCTTGTAGTTTGACAGAGCAAGCTTTCCTAAAGCCAGATCTAAACAGGCATAGCAGTGATTTTTTATAAGTTGAATGCAAGCTCAATGTTATTAAGGGCCACAAACAACCCATACAGACGCCATCACCGTATATCATAACATACTTGCAACTTGTTCCGTTCAGTGTATTTGCCAGATGACATAAAAGGCAGCAATTGAAACAACAAATAATTTTGCCATGATCCGGGCCTTTTGAAGCCAGGGTTGGAGGCCTCAGGGGCCTGCGTGTCCATCAAGAGTGGCAGTGGCAGCCCAGGACTGCCGATCACTGTTGGGCTCAGTAGTCTGAGGTGGACAGCGCTGGGCAGGAAGGAAATGCAGCCAGGGCGGCTGGGGAATACACTGATTCATTGCAACCGGCTGCTCTCTTTCGACAGCAGCCTCTGCTGCCAAAGCTGCTACAGAGCCCCCAGGGGAAACTAAAACTACCCTTCTCTTGTGTAAACCCCATGGGAGAACTGCACTTGAAGTGCCTCACTTAACCCCTCAAAAGCAAGGAAATAAAAGGCTTCCTGTAAAACAAATTCCGGTGCTGCTCACCCTGCTGTGCTTAGCTTGTCTGGAGGTCTCAGAGCAGTGGGCGATCACACATACATTACCTGTGTGCTGCAGGACCGCCACTCTGCAGCCCCAACAGCCGGAGTT